TGGTGAATGCCCCTCCCATAGGGATTAAAAGAGGAGCTAAAGGGGACGGGGACTTTTGCAGGAAACAATTTGTTTGTTGCAGCAGGGTGAAGATTTGTCTGTGCATCTCAGAGACTCTGTGCCGAGTCCTTCCTTGTCAGCACTGTGTCTGAAAATATTTACTTGGCAGCTCTCCAAGCTAGATAAGGTCTGTGCTCCTCATTACACCCTTGAAAGACTGTTTGCCAGGCCTTTGGCTGAATGTGAATGCAAGAACTTAACCTTTGTTTAATAAAAGGGGTTTTGCTGGGACAAAAAGTCTGCTTAGTGCTTTTTGGGGAAGCCTAGGTCAGAACTAACAGTCTCCTGGTGATTAGCCCAAAGTCATCCAGTCAGCTGTTGTACCTAAGGCTTGACTCAATCTCAACATCTCTCAGTTTTTAGCCTGGTGCTTTAACCACTAAACCAAGATGCCCACCTATCCTGCTTGCAATTAACTTCCCAATGTAGTGCCCTTAGTGTGTGTTAAACTGCAGTTCCATCATTCCCATCAGTCAAGTGATGTAATGCTGTTACTGAGATTGACTAAAATGAAGTGGTAGTATTATTAACACTTTGTCAAACTCCATTTGGGACAAGGGGTTAGTTGAGTCCCATTGACCAGAATTGGACAAGGACTAATCACTTTTAAGGGTTGACCTACATGTGTGAATGGGAGGTCCTAGATTTAACAAGCATGACTGGATTTTCTTTTTACTACCAGAAATGTTCGTTCTTTAATTCTGATTTTGGGGGACACAATGATTTGGCTTTGGGGGGGCTTTGAAATGTCGAGGCATACAATTATCTTGGGGTTCTTCAGATTCCTTGATAAGAACAAAATAGCAAGTTCATTTTTCCTGCATGAAGTTTGATCTTATTTCTGCATCACTTTGCATTTTTTCCCCTATGCGTCAGCAGGAAAATCCAAATGTATATTAGCATGCATTTCTTTTAATTTTATATCATTGTCTATGCACACTTCCTAATAGGCAATTTCTATAAGTGATTTTATCTAACAGAAGGCTTTTTAATACACATATTTCCCCTGAATTGACTTTTTCTGATGATATACACATTTTTTATGCATTTTTGAGCTGAGACTTTGATGAAAAATGCAGATTTCAGCACAATACAATTTATTGTATGTATCCAGTTTATTCCTAGGTTTGGGAATGTGGATGGAGTGTGTGTGTGTGTGTGTGTGTATGAGTGTGTGTATGTGTATATATGAGTGTGTGCATGTGTATATATGAGTTTGTGTATGTGTGTATATATATATATTACACACACACACACACACACACACACACACACACACACACTCACACACACACACACAAAATCTATCCAGGGGTGGGCTTCAAAAAATGTAGCAACCACTTCTCTGCCCAGTTGCTGGGTGGGCGTGGCCATGGTAGGCATGGCCTAGTCAGCCTCCTGCACCATCCTGGCCTGGGAGTGAAAACAGGCTGTGAGGGGAGCGTTTTTGCCCTCCCTGGGCTTTCTTGAGTCTCCGGGAGGGCAAAAATGGCCTCCCTGTGCTCTGGAGATTCTCTGGAGGCTGGAAACAAACTTCTCGAACTTCTGGGAGGCCCATTTTTCACCTTCCCCAAGCCTCTGCATGTGCCCTGCACTTGCCTGTGATAAAAAATGAGCCATGTGGGGACTCCTGGGAGGCCCAGCCAGGGGTGGGATTTGGTGGTTCAGTGAACTGGCCATAAAATTAACAACCGGTTCGCCTGAACCGGTGCGAACCAGTCGCAGCCCATCTGTCTGTCTGTCTATCTATCTATCTATCTATCTATCTATCTATCTATCTATCTATAATATATTTATATTTATATATAAATATATTATACACACAAAGATAGATAATTTCTTGCTGAGAAAGTAAACATGTTGGACATCAACAACAGCAAAGAGCTCACATCCAAGGCACACTTTTCATAGAAATCAACCCTCAACTTCACTGAGTAGCAAGTACATTTAACTCAGAGCATAAACCACTTTAAAGAATAGAGTGGTAAAATAGAGACCAAATGGCAAAACTCCATATGGTCACCAGGTGTCAGAACAGAGGTGTATAAAATATCATTTGCACCATCTGGTGGTCAACTCTATTCTTTTAGCAGCACAGATCCAATAGTTTAAGAAACCAAGTGCAGGAGAAGAAGTGGAATACATGAGTACCATATATGAATATGCTCATCAATAGTATGATTAGTTTTCCTCTAATAAGGGGGTTATGGGACATAAATTCCAAATTGGGGAAATGTGGTTCAAACTTTTTTGTGCTGAATTGCTGATCTTCAGGATAGACCACACATTGGGCTAGGATGGAGGGCTAGTTTTTTAACTGTTTTAGGGATTACAAGTAGTCCCCGACTTACAACAGTTCATTTAGTGGCCATTTGAAGTTACAATGGCACTGAAAAAAGTGACTTATGACCGCTTTTTACACTTAACAACCATTGCAGCATTCCCATGGTCAGGTGCTCAAAATTCAGGCACTTGGAAACTGGCTCATGTTTATGAGGGGTGCAACATCCCAGGGTCATGTGGTCAATTTTTGCGAGCTTCTAAGAAGCAAAGTCAAGGAGAAAGTCAGGTTTACTTAACAACCGTATTGTTAACTGAACAAATGCAGTGATTTACTTAAGAACTTTGGCAAGAAAGGGCAAGAAATGGGGCAAAACTCATTTATTGTCTGTCTTTCTTACCATAGCAACCAAAATATTGGTCTCAATTGTGGTCATAAGTTGAGGACTACCTGTATAGTGAGCGTCATGATGGCGAGCCTATGGCACGTGTGTCACAAGTGGCATGCAAAGCCATTTGTGCTGGCACGCAAGCCTCAGGAGAACTTATCTCACTGAGCATGCATGTGCCTCACAACTGATTTTTTTGTTGTTGGTTTGAGGCCTTTTTCGGCCTCCCAGAGGCTTGGAAAAAGCCTCTGCAAGGCTTTTCAGGATGATAGGCCCATTTCGTCACTTCCTGTAATACTGGAAGTGACAAAACAGGCCTATAATTCGTCCTGAAAAGCCTTGCAGAGGCTTTTTCCAAGCCTCTGGGAGGCCAAAAAAGGCTTCAAACCAGCCAAAAAATCAGCCATGAGGCACAGTACAGGTAAAGAGGGGATTGTGCGTGCATGCGCAGGAGGTGTGAGGAGGGGGGGGCGCATTGCATTCTGGTGCTGGCATGCAAGTGTGTGCATGCACACAATTTTTGGCACAAGAGCCCAAAAAGGTTAGCCACCACTGTCCTAGAGTCACTGTATGAGATAGGTGGTCATATAAGTCCAATAAGCTTCTCTCGCTCCCTCTCTCTCTCTCTCTCTTTCCCCCACTGCCTCTCCCCTCCCTCCCTCCCTCCCTCTCCCTCTCTCTGTTACACACACACACGCGGGAGGGGGGGAAATAATACAATATATTTAGAAATAAATCCCTATACCACTTAATGGATTGATTTCCGATCACCTCTCTGTTCAAAGAACAGAACTGAGATCCAGAAGCTTCACATTGAAGGTACAAATGATTGATTCTCTGATGCCTTGATCCCATCATCTTTTAACCAACTCACGTGCTGCTCTGGGGGGGGAGGGGGAATCGCCCAACTCCCTTGTGGATCAGGGATCTGCAGGAAGAAAAAAAAATCTGTCGCCCTCTTTCAGCAGGTGTGGATCTCTGTCTAAATACATAGACAGAGGGAAAATGCAATATTTTGTTTTAGGTAGTGGTCATCCATGTCATTTCTCTATTATTTCATTCGTAATACCGTAAAAATACAATCTTTCCCCCCCCCTCTTTTGGGCCCACACTATCATCTGTTTTGCCACTCATACTAAATCATTTTCTGCCTACCTAGTAACCCTTCCAACTTCCCCTTTCCTTTGATCAGCATTAGCAGAACTTGTTTGCTTATTGGATAAGGAAAAATTTCATCCACTTGCTTGAAAACCAACGTCCTTATTTTTTTTGGTACACCAGCAAACCAACCTCAGCTTTCGATCCACCCCATCATGCATTCTTCCTTTGCTTCCTTCCCTCTTTTGTTTCTCTTCTTCTCTATCCCATTGTTCATTATAGGTATTTAGCATTTCGCAGGCTGTGGTTTAAACCCCTACCCGTTAACTCCCCCCCCCCATAAAAGCCTCTGCGGGGACAGGAGATGGTCTTGTGAGATTACAGATTAAATATTACAGAGCATATCTCTGGGACCGGGGAAGGGAGGGAGGGTTGTAGTTTCATTGGGGACGCAGGATCCAATCACAGTGGCTGTGACCACCTGATCCTGCAGAGGCAATCCGGAGGCTCTAGTAAAAGGGGAGGCATTACAAACATTGCAAGTAGATGCTTCGTGATGCTGTGTGCTGCTACACACACATACACACACACTCACAGGCGCAGCTATTATATGCAGCGGGTTAGCGGGCATTGCTGTCACATTTTTGATCAGGGAACCACCTGCTTGCACAATTTGAATTATCTTCTGCCAAAGAGCAATGCTGTCCTGACATATCTCGCTGGTGATAACTAAATAAGGAAACAACCCACTGCAGACAAAACTGGCAGAAAATGTATTTTTATTCTTTTTAATTTAATTTTTTTTAAAAAAAGGAAAGATGAATAGAAGTGCCTCCTGATGCTTGATGCCAAGTTCCCAGGTTTTTCTTTTTCTGCCAAGAGTCAGGGAAATATATGGGTCAGTGAAGTCAACTACTGAAATAGCTATCCTCTGTTTAGCCAAGAACTAACTTTCTTACATTTGGGAAGAAACAGAGAAAGTTCTTTAAGGGCAGACTTCTTTAAGAGTGCCTTTGATTCCAGCTCTTGATCTAACTCTTAAAAGCCAACTCCAATTGGTCTCGGGACAAACTGGACTTGAGCAACTGAAAAAAAAGAAGAAGAAGAAGAAGATCTGACAAACCAAATCCAAGAGACAATGGTACAAAACGTCATTTTGATTTTCTTTCGCAGGCGATTGAGCCAAAGACCAGCTGTTGAGGAGCTTGAAAGACGGAATATCTTGAAACGTGAGTATTGGAATGCATTTTCTTCCTGGCAACTTGTTTAATTGTTTTGTGGGTAGATATGGAGTGTTCTCCTCTACAAAGAGAAAGTATGTTTTATTATTCTGTGCATGATTAGTAAGCAGAAATGTTCTCCTATCTAAATTTGTTGGACTCAGAAAATAATAGTTATTCTTAGAGTAACTCTGTAGTCATTAAGAAAATGGACAGACTACTCCAGTATAGTAATGTATGTATTCGTATGAATACAGTATATAGGAGATCTAAAGTGTGCTCAAGTCTTTGTTCTCTTCGCTCTCAGAAGATCCATGGGAACTATTTCACAATTATTCCCATTCTGCTTGTTGAACACTGAGGCTAAGTGAAAAGTCACTTGGAGGACAACACTCACTGAGTCTTGCAGAATTTTGGAGCTGTGTCTGCACTTATTAGCTTCTTGACCTAATGTACCAGGAACCAAGTTTAGATTGTAGGTTTTCTAAGAAGGAAAATTAAAAATGACCCCCAAACTGGATATTTTTACTATTAAAAGTACAATGTGCTACTTCCAGGCAGAAGAAGGATAAGATTGTTTGCAGAATGCTTGAACCTTGCTAGGTGACACAGATTTTAATTAAACCACTAAGAGGTAAATTTCTCTGCCATCGCTATGTAAGTTCTGCAGCAATATCATCACTTTTCATCCAACTTTATTTCACCAACTGCATCCTATTTCACTAATTGCACATTTCTCAGGGCTTCGGACATTATCCCTTCTAGTCAACAGCAGACAATTATAGAGTCATTGAACTTTTTCAAAGTTTTTCAGTATCACACAGCACCCTTTGTCAAGTTAAGTGGTAATAGTCCTAGCAGCTGCAGTCATTCAACATGCTAAGCTTGGTAATGGAGTGTGTGGGGAGGAGTATTTTGTTTATTTATTTATTTATTTGATTTGCCAATTGTTTACAAGATAATAAGTATAAGTGTATACATAGTTGTGAATACATGAAATGGGTACATATAAGAAAAATAAAAGAATAAGAGAAACAATAGGACAGGGACGGTAGGCACGTTGGTGCGCTTATGCACGCCCCCTGTAGGGAAGAGCTCTGCTTATATCATTCTATATGGCTCAGTGTATTTACAAATTCAGGAAAAAAATGGGCTGATTATGTATCCAGGTTAAGACATGCAGCCAGTAAGTGAGTCATCTGATTTATGCTTTTTCAAATCACCTGCTATCAAAAGATTAAGGCAGATGCAATTCCTTTCATCTCCAACACAGAGAGCACAAGCCCAGATATTTCACAAAAATAAGGGAGATTGCACTCCTAAAGTCAATTTCCTGCAAACAACTGCCATGGATTCAAGCAGGCCTCTCTCTCCTATGCATACTTGTATCACTTTGGGCTGGGCATGATTTGGCCAAAGCCTGTTGCTGAGTTCATGCAGCTGCCTGCTGGACTCTTTTTTTTTTTTCCTGGCATAGCCTTCTGCAATGGATTCAGATAGCTGCCCCTGAGCCCCCTTATTTGCAATATAAGGACTGCAATAGACTAATTCTACCATAAAGTCATTCAAAGGGTTATTAAGGAAGTGCATTTTGAAATCTCCAAAGATGAGAGTGTCTTTTTAGAGTGGCCTTTGCCCCAAATGATCCTTTCCAGAAGGATCCCTAGCTTCCAGAATTAACATATCTGTTGCACTCCTGACACATTTGGACTGAGATTATGCATAAATGTTAAACTATACTCCAGCCAAATGAGCTATTATGCTCCATAGATTCCCATGAAGGAGAGTCAACTGTGACATGGAATTTGTCACATGTTATTCGCCTTGTGCATTCAAAGAGGCAATGGCTCAATGTTGGAGTAAGTCTGGGAGATCCAGATTCAAGAACAGCTGACCGGGTAACTCTGAAATGACCAATGGCTGTACTCAGACATCATGCTTTAAACATGGCTGGATCAGTTGCATTCATGCTTGCTAAAGTTGTTCCTCATTAGTCTTTTTAATGTCTTAAAATGTTGGGCAGCCTCTTTGGTTTCCTGGTTTAATTTACTGGGCAAATCAAGAAAATGGATTAATTCAATAAGCAACTATAGTATGCAGAGATACTCTTTCTTAGCTAACATGTCTAACAGGTTTGTTACTGTAGAATAAAATTGGAGGAGAAAATACTATGTGCATCATCTTGAGTTCTTATAGAAAGGCATGAAGAAAGGATAGATGGAGCTGAGGTGGTACAGTGGTTAGAATGCAGTACTGCAGGCTACTTCTGCTGCTGTCGGCTGCCTGCAATTTGGCAGTTCAAATCTCACCAGGCTCAAGGTTGATTCAGCCTTCCATCCTTCCGAGGTGGGTAAAATGAAGACCCAGATTGTTGGGGGCAGTATACTGACTCTGTAAACCACTTAGAGAGGGCTGTACCACTGTGAAGCATAAATCTAAGTGCTATTGCCATTGCGAAGGAGGGAGGGAAGGAAGGAAGGAAGGAAGGAAGGAAGGAAGGAAGGAAGGAAGGAAGGAAGGACATTTGAGAGAGATAAAGGTGCTAGTGATGTATAGTGATCTTAACTACACACAAACACACACACCCAAATGTTAGTAATCTTCACAGTTGGTCATGCAAATATCTCTATATAGAAATGTGTGCAACTGATGTCTAATCCAGAGAGGATTGGCAAATGTGACAAGGAGTTCTACATCCAACTTTATTATCCTTTTATTATCACACTTTCAGCAAGACATAGCATTGGTAGATTCCTCCTTCTGTGTAGGGATGGCCTTGCAGAACCAGAAGGAACCTTCATCTCATATCTTGTTATAAGGAGTTGAACACAGGCAGTGAAGCCAATGGCATGGCCTGAGCTTGACAGCAAGATGATCAGAATTTTTTTTTAGAAATGAGACCATCCTCCACACTGGATGATGATCATTTTGCAACATCAGTTATTTCCTGTGGGAAAATGCCTGATGGTTTTAATTTACTTCCATCTTTCAAATGAAAGTCCCAGTCTCTGTGTGCCAGACATGCCACCAAGCAGATGGCTATGCACATACATCAAGAAAGCATGTTGGAAGCTGTTCGAAAAGTTAGCTCTACAAAGGTATCCAAAAGCTGAGGAGTGCTTCTGCCTGCAGGTTAGCATAAGCCTGAACTAGGTTTGGTAGCAAGCTGATAGGTAATATCTCCTGTAAATTCCGTGAATGAGGAATATGATTTTAGATCAGAGAGCAAGGTTTTGCTTTTGTCATTGGCTGCATTTCTGCGCACAAACTTCTTGGAGCCATAATAGTTGCCCATAGCTACCTTTTCATGAGCTAATGCAATACCATGACCTAATGTTGTGTGAGCATCAAAAGGTCTTCCTTGGCTCCATGAATGTGGAGCTGTAAGTGTTTTGTATAGTTTTCGTGTGTATGTGTGTGCGTGTGTGTGTGTGCGTTCTATATTTTTGTTCATAAGGCATTTAGTCTATTCACTCAAAAGAAGCGGCATGTGGTGGAATCGCTTCTGCCTCTTACTCAGGTTTCTCCAACCAGGCTCAGCCAAAAGAGGACCAAAGCAAAATGATCTCTGGGACCTCCTCAGTAACAAAATATGGGTAGACATTTTCTTTGTAACTTCTTAGAGATTAACTGATAGTCCATACTGGTAAATTAAGATCCTGCAGTGCCCCAACCTCAGTCTTCTTCTGGAAATCACCAGCATCTGTTTGGTTCTATGGTCCATATAAGCTGGTTGGCCAGGTTTAGAACAAACAGTAGTAGGCTAAAACAAATTGCAGGAATATAATTACAGAATAGTTAAATGGGGATATCTTCATTCAGCAGGTGCCTTTAGAACAGTGATGGCTAACCTTTTCAGCTTGGTGTGTCAAAAATCGGGAAAAAGTGTAGCCTTCCTCAGGTCGTGTGTCACTTCAAGAAATATCAATAATTTGGTTTATGACGGACTGGGCTGGGGTGATCACACAGGGCTGTGAAACTCGTCTCCCTGGTCTCAGGGCTGTAGGTGCAGGATGTGGGGATCGGAAGGCCACCTTACAGGGCTGTGAACCTCATGGATCTCCTTTCCTCCTGTAGCATTCCTGAGGTAATGAAACTGACAAACCTCAGTTTATGGCGGTTAAAACTGGTTCTCTGCTGCAAAGATCTTGCGGCAGCGGTGACACCATGCCTCCACGGAACAAGCAGGGAGCAGGGATTGGAGCAGAGCACAGGCAGCCTCTAAATGTGCAGGTTTTCCCCACACCAACAGGCGTGTCAGTCAAAGTGCCTCGGCGTGTCACGAGTGACACGCGTGTCATAGGTTAGCCATGACTGCTTTAGAACAAGGATAAAATAGGTTTTTGAGGTTTGTTCTTCTTCCAGGAATTTGTTCTGGAAAATATTTCTGTACAGGGAGTGAAATATATTTCTGGACAGGGAAGAGAAGATATTTCTGGACAGGGAGGGGAAGATATTGGACAGGTAGCCATGCAGTGATTGTTCTTTAAGCATGGCAAAAAATCTACCTTAATGCAGTACTATGTGTGGGAATTGAGCTGAAAAAGTACTGGTAAGGAGGAGAAGATAAAAACCATGGATGGATGCATGGATGCATGGATGGATGGATGGATGCATGGATGGATGCATGGATCGCTATAGGCAGATATAGATGATAGATAGATAGATAGATAGATAGATAGATAGATAGATAGATAGATAGATAGATTAGATTAGATTAGATTAGATTAGATTAGATTAGATTAGATAGACAGACACACACACAGACGATAGATGATGGATGGATGGATAGATAGATGATAAATGAGTTTTAAACTCCATGTCTGCCTGATAGGGTTGCTTAAGCTTATGTCTGTGACATATACTCAGTCATGTTGGATGTTCTGGGTTTGCTGACATCAAAAGTATTTTTAAACCTTAAGCATGAGGAACATTAGCAGCCACATCAGCATACTTCTGGCAAGCACCCTGTTTTCCTGGCTGTGCTAGGAAATTACACCAGCATTTCC